TTCTCCTCAATCTGCCTGATGCGTGGACCTGTTTATCCGTTCGCTTTCAGTTCCGCCAAGTCTAGTCGGGGAAGTGTGCCGCGCTCGCTCCGACGGGGATGGTAAGCTCAACGCCGCTTCTTTGATCAGTTCATTTTACATTTGGAGTGAATGGTGGCTGCAGGCTTATTTCAAATGATCATTCATTCTCTGCATTGCTGGTAAAATCATGTGATGGTGCATTAATAGCGTAAAATAAATGACTATTTGTTTACAGAATTAATAGTTTTGGTAATAAGAAACTAGTGAGAATGCGATGATGACACTGGCTGTGATTATGATGGTAATAACACATTTATTGTACTAACAACAGCGATATAATCGAACTTGTTAATACAATATTATAAAAGATATATAATATAAACACTAAAAATTATGATAATGATAAACTATCATTACTATGATAAACACACAAACTACTAGTAGAATCCACACAAAAAACAAAGCAAAATATACATACCTCCCAAGGTAGTTTTGTGGCGCACGAACAGTAATGTGGTGACTAGTTAGGCTTTTATCCTTTCGAAGTATAATCTGAGTCGGATATTCTTATGGACAGATATCCAATACTTGCCTTCTAAGATCTTTACTCACGATAAATTTGACTTATCTTGTACTTGTGCTCGTCCATAAGAATGTCTGATTATGCTTTTACTACGAAGTGATAAAAACCTAACTTGGTATCATAATACTGTTTTATGTACACACACACACATATCCATATGTATATATGTATATATATATGTATGTGTGTGTACACATATGGATTATGGTATTGTTTTTTTCAGATCTTGACTGTGGTAAGGACCCTACACTACAAAATGTATTTCGAAGTGAACCGCCTTCCGCCAAGGAAACCAACGCAGCATCAGCTTTACTCAGAGACCTCGTAAGCAATATCAGAGTCACCAGGCCGTCAGCGTTCCGCGTAGAAGGTCGAGCTCAGTGCGATATTGTAGTGGGAACAAGTATGCCAAGTGTTGCTGAAATGATGCCTGAAGTCATGAATCCAAACACATCAGACATGAGACCGTTGGCACGCCAAGTCAGCAGCCTTCCCTTGAGTCATGGACTAAAAGTCATACGACATATTCTGCAAATGGTGTTATCGAGAAATCAGAAAGAGAAGATAAACGTAAGTGAATACGTGAATGCCGCCAATACTGGCATCAAACACAGAATCCGCAGGCAAGAGACAGATCCTGCTTGCAGTAACATGACTATGATGGACGTTTGTATGACGACCGTTCGTCTGGGAGACGTCTTGTCGTTCAACGTCTGCGAAGCAATGCTCTTCATCCTGCCTCTGTTCGTTGCCCTGCCCGTGGCCTTCGGTATAGCCAGCGTTCTGTCGCCTTCCGTGTCGCCCCCTCCTATTTCACCTCCTCCCACTCCTTCTCCTCTTCGAGACATCCCCTCCCCTTTTCTTACCCCCCCTCCTTCTCCTCCGTCTCCGCCTCCCTCACCACCTCCTCCCCCAGCCCCCCCACCCCCAGCCCCCCCTCCGCCGCCGCCTCCTCCGGAAGCGGTTCGAGCTGTCATCCCCTTCTGCTCGGGCTCCGGCTACTTGGATCTCGTGCAACGGCTGCGGAAACTCGTCAGCCGCAACAACGGGCGTCCCTTGAATCCCGTGGCCGCGTCCCTCGCCGTCGCCGTCAACTATTGCAAGGTTTTTATTTCCTCCTGGTTGTGCAATGTCGTCCTGGTAGTCTTAATGTAAATCGGTACATGGAATTCAGATACTTGCAGTTGATCTTTGCATAATGAAATATCCATTTGCCTCTGCTCCCTTTAGCTAGCCCTCTATGTAGGCCTGTTCTCCACTGACTCATCTAAAATTTCTAGCCCATAATGTTATGTTGAGGTCATAAGTCATGCATGTTCATTCGTTTATTGCTTCTGGTGGACACCTCGAGTCACGCCCTTACTTTAAGATCATGTTTATCTCTTGCCAGACATGCAACGCAGTCTGGGCGCCATTAATTTAGCATAGGTGTTGTTTATGTTAATCGGACGGACGGACGTTTCAGTACGGTTTAGGAGTGCGTCCCGTCGTGCCTCCCGCGCCGCCCTCTCCCGCCTTTGCTCGCTCTTATACCAGTGACAGCAACGCCCAGCCGCCCATCTTCCTGGACGACCAAGAGGTCCAGGTGGCCAAAACGCCTCCAAAGCGATGGCCAGGGATTGTGAGTTACCTGTCTAATTCGCACCCACACACTCACGCATGCGCGCGCGCACACACATACATAATGTGTGGATATGTACATGCAAAACTTGTCTTCGTTTACATAGATGTAACCTAACATTTTTTCCAGAGTCATCCTTCCCTCCACTTCTTCCAAGGGACCAACAGACCACCCCCACCCCCTTCTTCTACCCCGTCCCCAACGCCTCCGCCGTCCTCAACTCTCCCCCCTCCCCCAGAATCTCCCACACCCCCACCCTCCCCCCAACCTCCGCCCGGCACGACCCCTGCCAACCCGACGGAAGCCCCAGACGCCGACGTATCCCCAGGTGATGGCGAAAGCCCGTGTTGAATTTCGAAGGCTAAAACGAAAGATTAATTGATGAAACATAGATGAACGATTGAAAATTAATCAACAGAGGAATATTATTTTATAGCACAATAAAATGGGATAGATTTTTCAAGATATGAATTATTTATATCGCTTCCCAATTTGTCTGGAGTGACACACACACACACACACACACACACACACACACACATACACACACACACACACACACACACACACACACACACACACACACACACACACACACACACACACACACACACATATAAATACATATATACACAACCAAGACTTCCCTAACACCCTCATATCACACAACAGACACCGAAGAAGCTCCTGCAGAAGGCCCCAGACCGGTGACCGAGGACACGCTACGGACCCGCAGTTCCTTCTCGTGCGGCGGGGCCCTTGTGTCTCCGTACCACGTCCTGACTGCGGCCCACTGCCTCCTCGACCAGCGGGTCACTGGGGACGGCAAACCTAGGTTCCTTAAGTAGGTGTCTTTCTTTATTATTTTTGTTATTATTATTATTATTATTATTATCATTATTATTATTGTTGTTATTATTATTATTATTATTATTATTATTATTATTATTATTATTATTATTATTATTATTATTATTATTACCATTATTATTATTATTATTATTATTATTATTATTATCATTATCATTATCATTATTATTATCATTAACTTCCAGATCTCTCGGCAGCACTCTCAGCAGTACCATACAAAATACTAATATTAAAATTAAGGGAAAAAAGACGTAAAACAAAAACACAGGTTATTACAGGTTAACTTATTTATTTTTTTATCGTAATTCTTCCTTATCTTTAATTTTCCTCAATCGTTTTCCTCAGTGCTTTCCTCCTCCCCCCGTTTATCCAGGCCGTCCGTGGTCCGTCTGGGCGAGGTTGACTTCGACCGCGTGGACGAGAGCCAGGCCTTTGACTACGACGTGGCGGCCGTTCGGGTGCACGAAGATTATGTTCTTCCTGTGAGGTACAATGACATCGCCATCATCACCCTGAAACAGAAGGTGGGGTCTGCAGGCTAGAGGGGTTTGCATTATATGTATTATGTATGGATATATATTCATCTTTCTCCCTCTGTCTCTCTCTGTGTCTTTCTCTCTACTCATGTCATCGATTTTATCACTTTTGATTACGCTGTCTCTTTCTTTGGTTTCTCTTTTTCTGTAAATGAAATTTGGGCAGAGACATTTTTTTTACCTTCTTTTTCGCTCTAAAAATAAGTTCATCACCACTGTGATATAGATAAACGCATATAACATTTCGAGAACGCATATCCACCCAGCTAGCAGCCCGCCGTTCAAAACCACGTTCTCTCCCGCAGGTGGAGTTCACGGCAGCGTTGCGCCCGTACTGCCTGCCTCGGCGAGATCTCCAGCTAGACGGCCGCGTGTGTACTGTCTCCGGCTGGGGAAGGACGTCGAATAATGGCAAGTCTTTAATGAAAGTAATTTCATTGATAGACTAACCCAACGTCCACTGTAATTTTATTATGAATATTGTTGCATGCAGAAAAATTGCTAATTACCAATTGTCTATCAGTAGGCCCTACGTGACCGCACCTGATTTCCCTATTCCTTGAGTATTCGGGTGGAGGAGGTATAGAGTCTTTGTATTTCTTTTCTCTGAATTCACAGTTTTCCAGTCCTTCATTCCATTCACCTGGACCTTCAATCGCCAGACTTGGTTTCAACGATCTTACACAATTTGGAAGTGGAAGTCCTGCCGCAGGTGGAGTGCGCGGAGACGTATTCCTCCGCGGGCGACATCTTCACCACCGAGTACCCTGAGGGCTTCACGGACACACTCCTCTGCGCAGGGAAGCTCGCTGACGTCTGCAGGGTGGGTTGTAGGATGTTATCATTGCTAGAAAGTTGTATTTTTTTTTAGGGGAATGACAATGCTTAATGATTTTTAAAGACTTCATGAAATAAAATAGAAGTTTGCTTTCTTACCCAAGTATCTGTCTACTAAGCTGACTGTCACTATATTTGTCTAAAAAAATATATGCATATCTGTCAGATATAAAGTACCTAGATCTCCAGTTCATAATACAATTTTCTCCATCCTATTCACCCTTTTGTACGTGATTCTAGGGCGACTCAGGAGGTCCACTTGTCTTGACGGAGTTGAGGACCATGCATACCGTGGGCGTAGTGAGCACAGGGTACGGGTGTGGAGACGCAAAGTTCCCAAGCATCTACACCCGCGTGGACCAGTATACACAGTGGATAAACGATGAACTCTATGGCGGATGTGAAGTTTAGGTGTTGCAAGATCCTCCGCGAAAATATTGATAAAGGTAGTCGAAAACATGTTTATCGGATGTTACGACTGAATCATATGAACCTGTATCTCTCATGAATTTTTGTACCTTCAGTAAATATC